GTGTGTAATCAGCCTCACTGCTGTGAGATGTGGTAGCCTAGGACAGGAGGAAGGCGCTCCTGCAGCTTGCGCACAGTCAAATTGATTGCAAGGGAGCTGAATGAGCCACAGGACAAAAGAAGGGACTCGCTTGCCAAACATCTCCCCCTGCTGGTGACATCATCCTGATCACATAGGCATACAGTAATTGACAGAACTGGTTTTTTGCCCAGGTTTTTAAAGGGAGTTTGACTGTTAGCCTAAAATGTGTAGACTTTATTTACTACACTTCTATGCCACCTTCCTCCCAGCAATGGGACTCAAGGTATCTCACAAATAATTATAAAATACAAGAATTAAAAACAAAAAACCCCCCAACTAAATTATTTAATAAGGAAATATTAAAATTATCATATAAAGACAAATTAAGAAATAACAAAGCATTTTAAAACACCCAAAAATGATATTTTGACTGTGCATACAGGGCAATTAGCTATGTAAAAATTAAATATTAAACACTAAAAGCCTATTGGGATAAAAAGGGTTTTAACTGCTGCTGAAAAGAAAAGGGGACCAGCCTACTTTTACTGGAGAGAGCATTCTATAACCAAAGGGCAACCATCAAGAAGTCACATTCTTACATCCCTGACAAGCATACCTGTAAAAGTGACAGGACCAAAAGAAGCACCACCCTGAAGAATGTAAAGACCTGGAAGGGGGGGGGGTTATATGGGGAAACACCATCTGTCAGGTAGCCTGGACCCCAGCCAAATAGGGTGAAGTAGGTCATAACCAGCATTTTGAACTTGGAAACAGACTGGTAGCCAGCAAAACCTCTGTAACAGGAGAGTTATGTGCTCCCTATAATCATTTCCAGTCAATAGTCTGGCTGCAGCCTTTTGCACCAGTTAAAGTTTCCAATCTGTGTTCAAAGGTACCCTTTAAGCAGAGCCCATTGTAGCAGTAAACCAATTGGGATGCAACTAAGGAATTTGTCACTGTAGCTGAATTGGACATTTCAGGGAACAGGTAAAGCTAATGCAAATGCACTCCAGGTCAGCACCAAAAGTTTTCAGTTTGTTCTCCCTCGCTGGAGTTCAATCTGTCCTCAAAAATCCACTCCAGAATTTTGGTAGGAGCAGGAGAAGATGGGATTCCTTCAACTTCTAAGCTTAGAGGCAGCCCAAACAGAGACTGGATTCTAAATAATTTAACTTATTAAGAGTATCCCCAAGAGAGGGCTATTCAGGAACACGCACATACAACTCCAATTCAGAAATTTGGGAAAGGTACACATAGATGGTTGCAAGAAGCAAAACAGGAGATACAGAGCTGTCCTTCCAATAGCATCTCCAGTTGATGACCAGTAGGATGGACAGCACAGGATTTCTGTTAAGCCCATTTATGGAACAGCTTGCATCTTTTTAGTGAGATGCAACTTTTGGTATGGATTCTCTTCTTGCTCTGGCACTGGAGCACTAAATACTAATCAATTACACAGTACGCAGCAGCAACATCATTTCTTATGCAATGTTCCAAAGGAGATGACATGGAAAACTTTCTCTTTGGAAACAATGACAGCTGATCTTGTTGTGGGCAATCCACCAAAACAAGTGGAGCAAGTTTCTGTCACTCAACATAGCAGCAAAGAGCCAGCTTAGCAATCTGGTTGATTCTGTTGCTTTATGTGACAAAGACCAGGAAATGCCACCTGACTGAGACAAAAGGGGAGGCAAGACTGAAATCTTCACTTTGCATTGCAAAGCCAAAACAGAAGTGCCTCTGCCACAGGGAACTTCCTGGATTTTGGCCTGGTTCTCTGTTAATTAAATACATAAGCCAAACCTCTTGAGCCAAAACACAAGAAGGGCAGGAGGAGAAGAATCATATTGTACCTACCCTGTTTCCCAGAAAATAAGCCCTAACCGGAAAATAAGCCCTAGTGTGATTTTTGAGGATGCCTGTAATATAAGCCCTACCCCCAAAATAAGCCCCAGTTAAGTGAAGCCCCGCCCTCCACCATCGTGCAGCAACCAGAAGAAGATAACATGACTGTATTTGAATAAATGTAGATTGCTGTACTAAGATCATGGCCACTGGTCCCATCACCTCCTGGCAAATAGAACGGAAAGATATGGAGGCAGTGACAGATTTTACTTTCTTGGGCTCCATGATCACCGCAGATAGTGAGAGCAGCCACAAAATTAAAAAATGCCTGCTTCTTGGGAGTAAAGCAATGCCAAATCTACAGCATCTTAAAAAGCAGAGACATCACCTTGTCAATAAAGATCTGTATAGTCAAAGCTATGGTTTTTTCCAGTATTGATGTATGGAAGTGACAGCTGGACCATAAAGAAGGCTGACCACCGAAGAATTGATGCCTTTGAACTGTGGTGCTGCAGTTCCCTGGACTGCAAAAGAGAACAAACCTAGCCATTTTGAAGGAATCAACCCTGAGTGTTCACTGGAGGGACAGAGCCTGAAGCCAAGGCTCCAATACTTTGGCCATCTCATGAGAAGAGAAGACTCCTTGGAAAAGACCCTGATGTTGGGAAAGTTGAGGGCAAGAGGAGAAGGGGACGACAGAGGACGAGATGGTTGGACAGTGTCATTGAAGCTACCAACATGAATTTGTCCCAAATCTGGGAAGCAGTGGAAGACAGGAGGGCCTGGCATGCTCTGGTCCAGGGGGTCACGAAGAGTCGGACACGACTTAATGACTGAACAACAACAAAAAGATTGCTGTGCATGAAAAAAATAAAACATCCCCTGAAAATAAGTCCTAATGCATTTTTGGAGCAAAAACTAATATAAGACCCTGTCTTATTTTCGGGGAAACACGGTACTGAGTAAGTCATCTTTACTGTCTATCAGTCCGCTGAAAGAGCAATGGTTTGCTCCAGTGGCTTTGTTACCTGAGAGGAGAAAGAGGAATGGCAACATTAACACTATTTTCTTTTGTTAATGCATCATGTGTTGCAAGTCTGCTGAAAGCCCAGCAGATGCACCCATCATTATGGATAGGTGGTTGCTTGTGGTTTACTTATGCCAGGAAACCTGGGTTGGGAATACTGCCTCATTTAGGCTCTCCAGGAAGAAAGGACAACAAAGCCCATTCAAAGGCCTCCACTGAACTCATCAGCAGAAAGGCTGGTTTCTCAAGTCTGCAGCTATGACACTATTAAGGAATGTCAGACTGCTCCCTGAAGGAGAGCAAGAAACAGTAGCAATTTTGACATGCTTGTTGTTATTGCTATTAGCTAATTGGGCATCGCTTGTGTAAGGTAGGGAATACAAAAGCTTTTGTCTATTATTCTTGTGTGACAGCCTTGTCATGAAGGGTGTGTTACTTGAAAGACAGAAACTACAGCCAGTTTGTACACAGTGCTCTGGGTTCACAAGTAAAGCCACTAAATGGACTGCCTCTTTGTGAGAGAAAAGTTGTTTCTGAAAATTATATGATTGCTGTTTTACTTTTTTTTTTTTTGACAGACCACACAATTGCCAGAGAAATTTGATGACAGGGCAGAGAAGATTTCAGTGCATTCTTAGTTAACAGGGTCTGGTATTTTTAATATAAATTTATGAACCACCCTTCATCCACAAGGGCAGCAAGATGGTGTATACAACATTATAAAAGATCACACAATTGTATAATAAAAGGTGTTAAAGCAACTTAAAAAGCAAGCAAGCAAGCAAACAAATATATCAAAATAATTAAAATTTAAAATTCCTATGCAGAAAGGAAATTTTTGATTTGCTATTAGAAGAAAGCAAGACCGGTACCAACCAACTTACCCTCTAAATTTCAGCCCCGTTCGGCGGGGCCCCACCTCTCTTTTGTGCAGCTTTGCCCCTGCATGTGTGTGCGACTCGGCCCACGTGCGTGCTGGGTTCCGTAGCGACCGGAACCTTAAGCGATCGCTGCGCAGAGAGGGAAAAGAGCTGCGCAGACGGAAGCGGAGTCGTGCACGTGCACCCTGCTTAGTGGGAACCTTGGCACAGTCATGTCCGCCATAGTCTAAATGCTATCACAAAGAAGGCATCTTGCAGGTTTACTACTGGCATCCATCAGCCTTATTATAATGGGCAAAGATTCTAAAGTAATGAGCCGGAAGTAGGGATGCTTGAACAATGCAATCTTTGTGAATTCTGTGAATTCATGACTCCTGGACCCATGTGTGGGTTGGAACTTCAGTACTTCCTCAATGGTCTGTCACAGTCTTTCATATTAAAGGTATATATACACATATACAGGATTTCAAATGCATACCTTGAGAGAAATTCCTTTTTAATGTGATCAAAAATATATGTAACTGTGTTTAAATCTAATGTTTTGCCGTTCTGTGCATATTTAAGAACAAAAGATTAATATGAAAACAGACTATTAGGATGTGGAGGGGAATATATACAAAGATGATGCAGAGTGGAAAGGATAAATCTTTTTGCCTATGATTTAAAACATACCAAGAGAATGGGCTATATATCAAGAGTAGGTTACATAATTGCTAATAGTGGGTGTTGGGGGAGGGAGAATTAAAAGATGAGCACCTTCTAGATCAAAAGATGAGATTTTTTAAAAACAATCATGGTGACAAAGCTGAACTTATTTAGACACGCCATCTTCTGCTTGTTCCTGCTAAGGTTTCACCCTTTGTCTTTATGGTTCCAAGATTGCTGATAACAAATTGCCTAAAAGATAGCCTTGGTAGCACAATGTCAAAATTAAAAACATGAAATAAGCATCTGGAATAAAGTAGAATACAAATTCTTAAAGTTTATGACTCTTGTATAACATACTTTTTGTGATTTCTCCCTTTTCTACATTTGCCCTAAAATCTGCAAGGCAAGTATCACATAAGCACTTAATGCCAAAGCAAAAACAAACAAATACAAAACCTTTGATGCTGTAACATAAGAGCAAATGCTCTGAAGCACTGAAAAGACAAATACAAAGGTTCTCTCTCTCTCTCTTCATTTTGGTAATGTATCTCATGGATTTTCTGGTCACATCTGTTTAGGTCACCAACATAGATTTTTCACCCATGTCAACCCAATGGAGCTGATACAGCTGCCACAAAAGCAAAAGGCAGCTCCGCCGGCTAGGATTCCTTGTCAACGGTTGCCTACTCAATTCTAATTCCAAGCTAACCGGAGGCAGTTCTCAACATGATCAAGACAGCAAATGGAACCTCAGCTGGTAGAAATTCAAGATGCTGCTCTCAAGCTGGTTTGTCAAAAGAGTAATGCTGCCTCTGCATGTCTGAAGAGAGGCCAGGCAAATGACTTGTCAAGTACAGTAAATGAATAAGCTGACTTACTTTCAGCCACGATTCTGAGAACATAGGAACTGCATAATGAGCTCATTACTGAAAACAACTGAAACCTTTTATTAAATTTTAGAATGGGACAAGACGCTAGGAAAACATTAGGCACAAAAAATATTTTTATTGCCTATTTTTATTATTTCTACCCTGAAAAAAATTGTATTACGGTGCTTCAGAATTTCTGCAAATAAGCAGCAGAATGGAAACATTTCCAAAATCACCACCATCGTACTCCAACCCTGACAAAGATGTGAGAAAGGACAATCAAATTACATTTTTGCGCCATGGGAATTAATTAATTGAACTTGGTAGGGTTGTGAATTATCTACGTACAATATAAATACATGACTGAGGATAATGCTTTAGTGGATTCTAGGGACTACAATTGATCATCACTTTCTTTCCTTTTGGGCATAGGTGTATTATTTTTAAAAGTAAAATCTAATTTATAAAAAAATTAAAAGAAGAGCTAGTTGAGATTTTCACATAAAAAGAGAGGAGGATGACACTTTGTTGTTTGCATGGGAGATTTGCTCAAAATACTTTAGCCACAGCTGCTTGAACCTTATGTGAACCTTAAGTACTCTTTGTTTCTACCATACACTGCCAATCCATGTCTTGCCTAGGCATCTCCACTGAGAATTAGCCACAGCTGCTTTCACAAATCCCTCTGGGCAATATATGCCAGCATAAAGCAAGCTTTCTCCTTCCCAGGCAAAGGTGGACTAGCTGTTCAGAAAATCTTCTCCAAATCACTTTAAGCAAGGCAATGCATTATTTCCTTCCGCATCTTGACATGTGTTAGTGCAACTATGATGTGGTCACAACCATGGAGCCTCTCCCATGGTCTGTGCTCCAATCACTTCATTCAACAGCCCAAGGGGATTCCTTAGAAAGCTATGATTTGGGTTTGTTGAGTACTGATACTCTTGTTTTGCAAAATATTACATAGATTAATTGCCTAAGGACTGCCCAAGGCTGGAGAAAGCACAAAATATTTCGCTATTTGAAAAGGGGGATTCATGGCATGCTAATCAATGTTGTTGAGTGTTCAGAATTTGTTTAGCTGAGAACATGACTCAAACGTTGCAGGCAATTTGGAGATTCTTAGAATATGGACTCCAGAAAGTAACAACCTTTGCAAGGAAAGTAAAGGATGATGCAATATTAGAAGGGGAAGGAGATACGACTTTTTTTTGGTCATATCTGCTTTTTTAGAAAAAAGCATGATGGCTGGGTAACTGAGTGGAAGATTTTGAGTGGATGAGAGCCGTGTCGCCACTTTGAGTGGAAGAATTACTAGTCATTTCTACCATCCAGTACCGGCTCTTCCATGGAAGCTGTTCACTACCTATGCTTGTAATGATGCCATTAGCAATGTCAGTCTTCTTGTCTGGATGTTGCAACTCAGTCACATAATTAAACTCAGCCAGTGTCATCAGTGCCTTTGTGACTTTTGAATTAGACAGCTGTAAGTGGCAATGACCTTGAAGGCATTCCTAGAAACTTTAATTAGTTCTAGCTATTGCTACCTGGCTTCTAAATAGATATATAATTGAGAACATTATACCCATTCCTCAAGTATGTTGGTAAGCAATATATTTCCAGGGCCAATTCAATGTCCTCCTTTGGACCACAAAAGTCCTAAATAGGCTAAGTTACAGCACCCCAAGGACATCCATCTTCTTCCCTTTGAGGTCTCCACCTAAAGCTCTGTGATCTGCTGGGAGGTGTCTCTAGTCATCATTCCACCTTTTAATGATGCAAAATTGGCTTCTATTAGGATTAAGGTCTTCTTAGTAATTGCCCCACCAGTGTGAAATATTCTGCCAAAGATATGTGTTCAACTCCATCCTTGATTGCATTTGGAAACTACTAAAATGTAACTGCTGCATTCCTTCTAACCACTGAGTGGCTGACATATTGCTGCTTGGCTAATTCCCAGTATCACTTGATTTGACTTTTGTCTCAATTGTTTTTTATTATGCTTTTTTACTAAACAGCTTTGTAAATTACTTTTAAAAAGTAGAACATAAATGCCGTAGCAAAGTGTAAAATGTTGCTTTGAGCTGATGTGCAACTGAGCTGCAGTACAGAGCTTACATGGGTAGCTGCCTGTTTTGGCCTGGAACTCACCTTGGGCACATCTTGTGTATTTGTGGACATAGCTTATGAACTTCTTCTATACTGAAGAATGATCTTATAAAAAGATCGTATTGATGGTTATCTGCCAAGTAATTAACATTATAAGACACCTCAGGTTAGTCTATTGCCCAAAGATGACATAGTTGTTTTTTTTTTTTTGTAACTTCAGGTTCAATTACTCCTGCTTAATAACTGTCCTTCCACATGGGAAAAAGTTGCAGGCAGAGTGAAATAATGAGAAAGTCATGCATCACGGGATGCAAGCTGCCGATCAGAAAGGTAGAAAACTCACAGTGACTGATGTATCCAGAAGGAAATACCCCTTCCTAGATCATCAGTCTTGTAGATGCATCTGTCAAAATCACAACTGCCACCACCCCCTCATACTAACCAAGACTTTTCCAACCTCTCCACTTTATCTCCACCTTCCACTGGATACTTAATTACAAGCATCTGGTGTATTGAATGCCAGGATGGGATCTATTCATCAAGTACCTCCTGCTGCCAGGCCAGGTTATAAGGAAGGAAGCAGAAGATCTATGGATTTAATTAAAACTCAACACTATCCATCCCTGCTTATAAGACAGGTATTCATAACTCAGCTTCAGGAACACCTGCTGATGGGTCTTTACCAGGGATGCCCTCTTCGTTTCTGCCCTCATCGTTTTGAGATGCCCTCTTTGTTTTCGCTCTGAGATCAATATGCAAGTTAAAAGGGCAGTAGATGACCCTTGGAAAAAAGAACATGGCAGGTGCTTCTTACACAGTGCCAATGATATTGCTGCTTGCATATGCCCAGTGAAATCCACATACAAATACCCTTTGGCTTTTTGGGGTCATGACTACATGCTGTTTGGGGCTGGATTCCATTGTTAGTGCTGACAAGAATGGACCCACTGAAATTAATGAAACCTATTAAATGAATGCTAATGTTTTAACTCCCTCTTTTGGTGCAAAGGTTGTCACTTCATGCCCTCCCTGTTTGATTCATTTGAGATTATTTAACAGAATATATCCCCTACTCTACAGGCATGAAGCAATGGCCCAACAGTTATGCCCCACAATAAAACAAACACTGCAGGTAATCAGTCAATGGCCACATTAAGGATACACATGAAATGTAACTACATTAAACAATCGATTGTTTTCAAAGGGGGTTAGACAAATTTATGGATGATAAGTCTATGACTGGCCATTAGCTTTGAAGAGAACTTGGAAATAATTTGTTAAAAGTTAATTTGTTGCACCCACTTTTCAACAGTGATTCCAAAATTCATTAATTTAATCATTAAAGTCCAGTAGTGTTACTTTTAGGCAGCAATTAATGGACAGTATCCTGTTGTGTAGGTCCACTAGTGCAGTGGGAATAAGGTAATTATCAGTGGCACAGTGCTGTTGATGAAACAGTTCATTTTCCAATTTAGGAGTGCCCACAAGTTCCACACAGTGAGACAAAGTCACACAGACATCCTGAAATTAAAAAACAAAGTCATTCCCATTATGTAGGTGGAGCTATACAACAGGATACCGACCAATGTTTCTAATCAGGTTAATTCATCACTAGTCACCTTTAATAATTTTAAATGATAATTTTAATTTAATGATCAATGGTTAATTAGCAGTTAAAGGATGTAAACTTATGTTAACCTTAGAAAAATAATTTAACGTTTAGTGTACTGACATCCACACAAGTACTTTTAAGCCCTTGATGGCTGCGTAATACTTTCAGTATCAACAGCAACATGGCTTTCACTATCAGCTGCAAAGGGAACTTTGGTGCGAATGTACTACTGTATGTATGTCATGATTGTGGGCTTCCCAGAGGCATACAGTTGGCCACTATGTATTCCGGATGTTGGAATTTGGTCTGATTAAGCATAGAATCTTATACAGTGGTGCCTCGCTTGACAACGATAATCCGTTCTGTTGAAATCGCTGTTAAGCAAAATCGTCATCAAACGAATTTTTAAAACCCATTGAAATGCACTGAAAACCATCCAATGCATTCCAATGAGCTAAATACCTGCTCGTTTTGTGAAGATTCTCCATAGGGCGGCCATTTCCCGGTGCCTGTAAAGCGAGGAATCCCTCCTAAAGCACAGCGGGGAGCCATTTTGCACAGTGGGCGGCCATTTTAGAGCAGCCGATCAGCTGTTTTAAAATCGTCTAGCGAAAAATCAGTTCCCGAAGCAGGGAACCAATCATCGTGAAGTGAATTTTTTCTATTAGAACATCGTTTTGCGATCGCAAAAGCAATCGCAAAAACCTCATCGTCAAGCGATTTCGTCATTTTATGAGGTAATCGTTAAGCGAGGCACCACTGTAATTTAAAGATGATTTCTAGTCCTATAAATTCTTATGGGGTGGAGAGGGAGTGTAAAAGCATATTACACTGCAGTCTCATGGATGTTTAATAATAATAATAATTGTGTGTCATCAAGACGATTCTGATGTATGGCAGTCCTTCTGTCCTTCTTGGTGTTTCCTGGGTACAGAAAACTCAGAGTAGTTTATCATTCTCTTCTTTTGGGGTGCTCTGGGATTGTGCAGCTTGCCCTAGACCACACAGGTTGGTTCTTCTGAGATACACAATGGGGAATTGAATTTCCAACATCTGTTTCTGAAGCCAGATACCTAACTCACTGAGCCATGCATGCTTACTCAGAAGTATGTAATTTTTTCTGGGTTTGGTAGAGCCTTCTCCAAAGTATACATGTAGGGCATTTGTAGTCTTAGTCATTCTGGTTATGGAAATGAAACATCCAGCAAATTCAGAACCAAACTCAGTTCAGGGAAAACAGGAGTTAATCCTTAATACAAAGCATTAACAGCTGGCTCTTAGCCTTTCCGGGTGATGATGCTTCAGCATGCCGCAAAGGTCTGGAGCAGCTGGCTGTGTCCTTCAGAGGGGCTTGCAGCTATAGAATTCAACTGTGGCACACTCAGCTATACCCAAGAAGAGCAACTGTCAGGTTGACTCCTGTTCTCTTGCCTGAAGAGTGTCAAGCAAACAAGGCTGTAGGGAGACCAGCTGAAAGAGCTACAATCCAGTTGGTGAGATCATCAGAGACAGAGACACCAGGGGGTTAGTCAGGCAGTCAGCAATGGGCCGCTTGAGGGAAGAAGGGCAGGAAGAGTTTGTTTGATTTAATTAACTCATCTAAAGGATTTCTACACCATCTTTCCGTCAGGATAGTTTTCAAGGTGACCTACATATTTCATAAAGAACGACATTCCAAAACAAATTATTCCACATATGTTAATGTTTTTAAATAAATAACAAGAAACATTAAACAATACAAAGCCAATGAGTTTGTAATGATGATGGTGGCAAAAACATCAAGAATAAAGTAATCAAACTAGCAGCACTAAGAAGCAGCAAGTAATAAAGCCAATCAAATTAAAAGACAGTACAAAGTATATGAGTAAGCATGTATGCATTTCAACTTACATAAAATGTAATAATCATTCAAAACACTCATCCAATAAAACTATTAACTGCCAAAAGCTCAGGCTACCAGGAAAGACTTTACTTGGCTCTTAAAAAATGGAAAAACCAATTTAATTAGAGAAGTGTGCTTTAATCAGGGTACAACCACAACTAGTGAGTATCCTTCATAGCTATTTTGAAGCTTAATGGAAGCTGTGTTAGCTCATTCCTTGCTTCTGAGTTAAGGGCTGTATGTATGTATGTGCCTCTTTAGCAGCTCTCCTATCCCACAGGTAGTGACATAAATTTCTTAAAACACATTATGTTAATCAGCTAAACAACTCACAGCAGTTTTTCTTGCTATGGGGGAAAAAGAGCTCAATACAGACAAGACAGATTACCAATGCAGCATCCTGAGTTACCCAGACTGCTCCTCCTGCATGCATACTCTATACAGTGGTGCCTCGCTTAATGGGCACCCCGTTTAACGACGAATCCACATAGCGATGCGAATTTTGCGATCGCAAAAGCGATCGCATTGCGATGTTCCCTATGGGGAAAAATCGTTGCGATTTTTTCCCATAGGCCCCATTTTCCCCCAGCTGACCGCCGGGTGCTTCGGAAGGAGCGTGGGGCCAGCCCTCCCCCGTGCTCCTTCCCAAGCGCCCGCTGGCCAACTGGCCGAAAAAGCCGTATGGGTACAACATTTTCGAAGAGGAGCAGCTGGTGGGAATATGAAGGTAAGCACTAAAATTGCCACTTATTGCCAATTCACATGGTGTTTTTGTCATATATGGTTTTTCCACTAATCTCCAACATAACTCCTTGGAGGCACAAGCCACAAGAAGGAATTCTCCTTTTAGTCAAACAGCTTCCCGTTCTCGGGTTGGGTTGAAGAATCAGGAACCACCACCGACAATGCATGGGTCCAGACAGACATCTCCTAGCTCTTCCTACTATCATATGGGCTTTCTGCCCTTATCCATCTTTCCACCATACTGGATGTTTTGTAGCCAGGCGGAGACACAGAAGTGGTGGCAATACACTGGATTGTTAAAATTACAGATGGAAGATGACAATCTTTGCCTTCACCCCTGCACACCTCTACTAGAGTTCCTTGTTTGAATCAGGTTATTGTAGAATAAAAGTTCATCTGAAAGCATCCTAAGTGGCTTGGACTAGGCAGGTCTGTTACATACCTAAGGAGTAAAAGGGCTGAGGGGAAAAAGGAAAGAGACACAGCATATAATTCAATATTCTCCCTACTGGCTATGTATCTTCTGATGCAGAATTTGGCCTTCATCACAGACATATGTAAATCTATAGGAATATCAGATAACTGCAGTGGTTCTAGCTTCTTTTGGCTTTTTAAAATAGGTATTAGGAAGCAAACAAATCACATGGCCACACTCTGGCAACAGCAATTTCAGAGCATGCAGTTCTATTGAATCCTTCTGATAATTCTTCACAGGATACTCTTTTAGTTATAGCCCAGCCTATAAACAGCTCTACTGTTGTCGGGAATTCCATCATCTTTCTAACTATTGGGGCTTTTGTTACAGAGACATTGCATTTTCTGAGCAATCAAACAATCATGTTTTGCTGCTGAGAAAATGAGAAATAAATGTGTTGGATTTATGTGCTCAAGTGTCACAACTACCTATTCGACTGTGTCATTATTCTGGGAAGTATCTCCTCCACTGCCCAATATGCCTGGTTGGTGAACTTTGAAAAAGGGGTTCTGGCCTACTTTAGCTCCTTAAAAAGGACACAGAGAGTAGTCCCTGCTAAAACATACATGTACAGTACATGTGTAGCCTTTTAAAAGGTAAGCCAACATGAAATGATCATCACTGTCCCCCAGCAAAGACCTAATAAATAATGAACTCTACCACCCATCTTCTATCCAAGCAAATATGCTAACATGTTTGTAAGCCATCTGCAGATGCAATTCCGTTTTCCAGCCTGAGATCACAATCTCCTTTGCAGCAAATCTCCATACCTCATCAAGGAACAGGGTATTACATCAAATATACCGGACCCAGAAGATCTACTCACAATGAATTAAGAGAGAAGGGACTAACAGTTAGGAATGCTGCCAGTTCTCAAACAATTATTATTCCAGGTTCCCTTTGAGTCACCTGCGCCATGCTGCCTTCCTGTGATAGGTGCTTCTCTGCCAAACGACTGCATGCATTCTTTCTGGATTCAGTGCAAATTTGTTCACACATTAAAAAAAAGCAAAATCTGAAATAGGTGAAAAACTGTTCTATATACAGCATGTGTTTCTGTGATGTCACAGGTTCTAGCCAAGCAGAGCCAGAAGCACTGTCATGGTTGGAGGTGGGGCAGGCTAAGGAAGGTGTAAGCTGTATGAATCAGACACTACTGTGGCCAGTGAGGTAACTAGAGAGATGAAGGGGAAGTCTTCTCATTACTCTAGTGCACCTAGTAGTCATAAGCCTTCACAGGTAGCTCTGCATTGGCTCAGCTTGCTGCTAGTCAAACTTGGCAAATTAAAAAGTTAAATTAAAAATGGTGCACAGCTCCAACTGGCCAGCAGCCATATGGTTTTGCTTCCAGCCAAAGAGTTGTTTTCTTCCTCCCCAGACCAACTCACAGATCTGTGCTATCTGGTCTAACCTCAGAGATGCATTGCTGCTGGTTTCTACTGCAAATACAAAGAACTACTGTAGTTTCCCCTGAAAGCAGGAGAGAAGGTGTGATCTTCAGCAAAATACTGTAACTCACTTCTACCGCAGGTTCAGCATTCAGATTATGGATATCTGTATGCATTGTAAAAAAAAAGAGGAAGAGCTTACATGTGTTCCTCATCAGGAACATAATCTAGTGTTTCAGCAGAAAAGAGTTTTTAAAACTTGCTATTCAGACCCATTAGTAGTATTTCTAAAGATGAGCTGACCTGTCCCATTGGGTGTTTCATACAGGTTGCAGCCTTTTCACCTCACCATATGCCGGGTCTATATATTTCTGTTTGTCCTGAAGCCAGAGGGCATTGTTTAAAGTTAAAAAAAAATTATGTCTCAATGTTCATTTGTTTTATACACTTGTGCCAAGACAGACTCAATGCAGATCATTCTGCAAACTTGGTATTTACACAGGCTAAAAAAAGCTGTTGAGCAGGGAGAACTATGTTGCATGCATGTGTGCTTCTTACTCCTCAGAAGCGCAAGGAACTGGTGCAGTCGAAAAGCAAAGCTAATCTCATGCAGCATTTTTCATATTTCCTGTGCTCTGTGAGATACACCTGCTAGGGTGACCTAGAATCATTTGGCAGGGACTTCACAATGGTGAGAGATAGCCATTGGGAGGAGGGAAGGCACTGACACTGAGTAGCTCTTCTTCCTTTTAATTTAGAAGTGGAATGAATGGAGCCTCTTTAAAAAGACCAATATTTCACCTCCAGCAGCCTGCAGTGCATCGAAGGCTTCTGTAAAGGGAACACAGCTCCACTGAGAGGCGTGAAAATGAGGCTATTTTGAAGTTTCTAGGAGATGGGAGACGTTTTATCTTGAGAATAAAAGAGTTTAAGAAATTACCAGCTAGGAAATCCTCCTCACACTCTCCCTGGCTCTTTCCCCAGAGAGGGACACAATTAATTTTAAGGAGAAAAGACATTCTCAAGCTCTGCGGCAAGAGAGAAAGGACTTGGGGACCAATCTCTCTCTTTCCTTTTCTTGTACTCTGCTTTATTCTAAAAACCTATCAAGGAGGTTAAGGGGAGGGGGAACCCTCTACATTTCCTTCTGCTTGGTTTGGCTGGCAAAACAAGGATTGTAGGGCACACTATGTCCAGACACTGCTTTTCTACAAACAAGCTGAAGTTCTGGTAAAAAAATGCTCTGTAGGATATTTGTCTGACGGACAGGGACAATTTATTTGCTGCCATCGCTTTTAGCTGGAGACCAGAAAACAGAAGGGTCAGAGGTGTTTCTCTTTCTCAAATTTCTAAAAGCATTCTTAACTCAGATGACCGTACCTGAAAAGGGAAACAGTGCAACTAAATTTACTTACACCAACTTCCACATGATCTGATCCACGGTCATCCTGTTTGTGGAGCAGCTCAAAGTAATAGCGTCTGGAAGAGAGGACACTGTGGGGAGGGGAAGAGGAGACTGTTAGAAAACAGAAACTGTACCCCCACAGTTATAGACTTCTAGGTTTATCATACCTCTTTCCCTAAGGGACTCTCAGCCAGTCTGGTGTAGTACTTGGGGAGTTTGGGACTACCAGTCAGGATACCTGAGTTCAAATCTCTGCCATGAAAATCTCTGTGTTGCCTACCGCACAGGAACCTTGTGTGAGGATAACATAGGGAGCAAGACAAACATGTGCACGGCCTTATGCTCCCTGGAGGAAAGATGAGGTACAAATGTAATAAATACTACATAAATGAGTATAACTGCATTGGATGGGATGAGGAGTAAGGAATAGAAACTGTAGATTTGGACATTTCCTAAACCAATGAAAGACAAGCTGGTGTCCTCCAGCTATTTTTGACTGTAACTCCCATAAATAAGCCCTTGTCAGCAGGTCCAATGGTAAGGGACCATGCTGTAGTTGTAGTTCTAAACAGCTGAACGGCATAAGGTCACCCCCCCATCCTATTCACGAGGATTGTGCAGCAATAAATATTCTGTGGACCCAGAGAGAGAGAAAAGATAAGCAAGAGAGCAATGCTATTTGCTGTTCGCACTGCCATTTCCTTGCTTAGGAGCACTGAGGAGCCTGGTGCTGTAACTGGGAGCTTCAGCAGGATCCACGGGAAGAGAGAGCAAAAAAACAACCCCACAGGGCTTTCTCTGGTCAAGCTCCTCTTTCTACTATCTAAATGCCTAAATCTCTTGAATCCTCTTTGCAGGATAACATGAAAAGGCTGTGCAAGAAACTTGCTCAACAACATTCTTTGTGTGAAACCCCTGCTGCGCTCTCCCCTCCATTTGTCAATTCTGACCAAAGGAAATTCAAATTCTCCAGTCACAAATTGAACAGACATTTGCTGAAGTTACCCAGTTGACACAACACATTATAAAGTCAAGACTCAACTCTTTTGCTGAATTAGGAACACCTTGGCAATGGGGAGAGAGGGCAAAAGCAAGACACAGGGGTAGAGCAAAAAAGGATCCAGGCTTGGCTTGAAATGGTTGTTATTCAAGTGTTACCTCTCTCATAATCTTGCCAAGTCTCTTAGGCAAGCCCCCAAATGCTAGACCACAGCTCTCTCCTCCCTAGCTCTACTGAAGACAGAAAATGAACAGAAATAACAACAGTCTGCTTTGTCGGAATGACTGAAATTATTTGCACAAAATGTGCAAACACTTAAAAGTGCTTTATAAATGTTCAGGGTCAAATGAGACTAGATGGCAGCAGCAATGATTTTTTAATTATGTCCTTGCCCTTTTATATGTAAACCGGGGGTGGGGGTGGGAAATCTGCTTTTAATATCGAAAGAGGCATACAGGTGAGAGGAGCTTACATTTTTGCAGACCATCTTCACTTCAGGCACTTTTCTTCCAGCTCAGTTCGCATGCTGAAAGGTAAACTAAGCTGGAGAAAACTGCCCAAGGCAAATGGGCTGTGGGGAATTAAAGTAGGAGAGGTCATAGCTCTAGCTCCCCATATGCTCCTCCTTAAAACTCCAGTCCCTCATTTTACCAGTGAACTGGCACATAACTGATAGTAACAAGAAGAGAAATCAGGTTATAGGAAACCGGGAACAGAGTGCCCTATAGAAAATGGAGTAAAAGCATGTGTATCCTGCAGAGATTCTGCTTGCTGATCACGAGAAGCCCAGCTTCAGCCTTCTTTGGTAACACAGCCTGCATCAGACACTGCACATATGGGTTCAGTCATCTGTGCACAATTATCATGGCTCTAAGAAAACATTTTCTCTCACTCTCTTCCCAACTGAATTCTGACTACCTTATAAGTAAAATACTGAACCAGAGTCCAAATTACACCGCAGCAGGGTGTAAATGACATTGGCAATGGTTTCTTGAAAAAGGTACATAACAAAATGGGATAGGCTATGAAAATCTCCAGTCACTGAGAGCTCAAACATGTAAGCTGAAAAGGAGAGTGTGCACATTTTTAAACAATAGATGACAGGCCTTTTAGGGAAAAAAGAAAAAGGAAGAGGAGGAGGAGGTGGTGGCACATGGAGAATGTGATGAGCCATTCCGGAACTGATGGATGCCCCCCCCCCCGATTTGATTGACAAGAGGCAAGACACAGATGCTGCGGTTGCAGCCAAGATCCTGCTGTTCTGTTGCTGCTCCCTGTCAGTCCTGATAAGCCATAGTAGGGAACTCCTAATATCCTTCTCTCACACACTTGCTGGTTTAGTGTGTTACATGTTGCTGCTGCCATGGAAACTATATCTGTATCTCACACAGGGAGGCAGAGGGTTCCCTGTGTTAAGCTGACCACAACAACAAATACATGGGACACTGGATTCATTTCCAACACAAATGCCACAAGGTTGGAGAATTTTGCTTCTTCATCACAGGCAAGGGATTCTCAGGTGTGGGCAAGGCAAGACTCAGTCTGACATAAGCAAAGGAAAAAGAAAGATCTTCGTTCAGTTACTTCCTAGCCTAAAATGAGGTCTTGTGGTGCCCCTGGTTACTGGTTTGCTCAAGTGAAACAACGGAGAATGCATCATCATTTTGCAAAAATGTTGAGCTCTCAGTATATTACAACAAACTTTGGAGCAGCAGGAGAGAGAGGCAGAATCGTCAAAACTATTGCTCTTGCTTCATTTTGAACAGCCTTTCCCAACCCAGTGCCCTCTAGATATCTGGGATTGCAGCTACCATCATCCTGGACTACTGGTAATGTGCTTATTGGGACTGATGGAAGTTGTAGCCCGAAACATCTGATGGGCACAAAGCTAGAGAAGGCTGGATGCCTTTAGCTAAGGGGGCGGCACAGCTCTGACCAACGCAGGAGAGGTGCTGAGTGCAGCAACAGAGCAGTGTGAAGCCCCAAAACTGAAACAGGAGAGGTGCTGGTCAAGTCAGTAATGAGGTGGGACAGCTGCGACAGTTAAAACCATATATTTTGGCCAGGCTTGAATAATGTTTCACATAGTATTATATCCTATCATGTATTATAAAATATAAAGGAATTTTCATTAGCCCATCTGGCCATTTGTGGGGATGTGTGTGCTGCTCCGTGTATCCAAACTATGCAAACCAGAAACACTACAGTCTCTTCCACACAGCTGTGGTTCAGCTGAAGAAGGAAAGAACCTCTCTAATTTCCCTTGGGAACTCTGGGACATATACCGGGCTTTTGCTATCTGAAGTTGGCTAAGCTCCAATCAGCTGCTTCACTGAACTGTACATGGCAAATGTGTTCAAACTATTCTTGCTGCCACTGCCAATTTCTGCCCTTCCCTTCCCTCCTGCTTTCTTTCATCGGCTCCCTAATTAGATTACTGCACTGAATTGTCCCCAGCTAATGATCTGTTAGGAAAGCTGCCGTGTATTCACACATAACCACACACCTATGGAGTATTACTGAATGGTAGGCCCTGGGGTTCCAGGAATCGTGTATGTTGTCTTTGTGAACCAATCTGTAAGGGGTCAGGATGCAGCTCCACCCATTCTAAGCAGAAGGAAAAAGGGAATGAGGTGGAATAAGATGGGCCTTTGGGTATAGGCTCTGACAAATTATCCCCAATATAAATGAATCGTCGTCGTCGTCGTCGTCGTTGTCGTCGTCATCATCATCATCATCATCATCATCATCATCATCATCATCATCATCATCATCATCATCATCATCATCATCATCATCATCATCATCATCATCATGTGCCATCAAGTCAATTCTGACTTATGGCAACTCTTTTCAGGGTTTTCCAGCCAGAGAATACTCAGAAGTCGTTTACCATTTCCTACTTCTGAGGGCAGCTCTGAGACTGTGCAGCTTGCGCAAGGCTACACAGGCTGGCTCTACTCTCAGGAAGCACAGTAGGGAATCAAATACCCAACCTTTGTCTCTGCAGCCAGATAACTAATTCACTGAGCTACCCAGCCAGCTAATACAAATGAATGGCTAATTAAGAAAGGAATGTGTTAAAGGATTAAGAAACCACGTTGTAAATGTATCATTTGAAATCCATTTATTCAATAAAGTCTGAATAAATTTCAGAGAGAAAGGCTTGTAAATAGATCAGAATAGATCATTCTAGAACCAGATTATGGCCCTTCTCTGGCCTTATTTTCATCTGATAAAAAATTACATTGTAACTAAGGCCTTAAAAAAACCAGGGAAAGCCATTTTACTCTACTATAGGAAATTCAAGAATCTTGTGGCATCTTAAAGACCAAGAGTTTTATTGAGACATTTCTGCTACAGGAAAATGCTTGTAATTAAATTGCCACAAGAATCTTTTTAAAATCCTTTTAAAGTCACCTCATAGCAGATCTCAACATGCACCTCAAGCCTGTAAATGATGAAACATAAAGAAGGGGAAACTCTGGCCTAAATGCTGGGGTTGGGGAGGAAAAAAATCCATTTTATAGCATAACACTCCCTGCTTTCTAATTTATACAAACCGCAGCCTCCTGAAATGAAAGAAAGACATACCCCTTCATAAAGCTCCTACCTTAAAACAGGAGCACATGCCAAGTATGGAAATCAAAGGTCTTCAAACCAAGCCTTATGAAGAATGGTTGAAGAAGTTGCACATGTTTAGCCTTGAGAAACTATGAGGAGATATGAGAGCCATCTTCAAATATTGGGAGAACATCTCCCCAATAGGAGTCATCTGACAGTGGAAAGGACCCTGGCCCCAATAGACATGTGGAGGGCCTGGCTTCACCACCGCAGAGTGCCTAATAACCAGAGTGTTTCTATAAACAATGGCTACTTCCTCCCCCTGCCCCTCAAGTCTACCCTGGTACTAGACTGCATAACCAGAAGGACAGGCAAGAGTCTGTCCCCCTTCCCCGCCCATCCAAGTTTTGGTTATGCATGGCAGGTCTGCATCCTCCTCCAGAATAAGGTCTTGAATAATCTGAGATTTGTTGGATACAGACCCGGCATCAGGAGCACCAGATTTAGAGTGGAGGGACGGCTGGTCTGACTACCTCGAGACTGACAGTTGGTCACAGTGCCAGAACAGTGAACAGCCTTCAAACATCTGTTCACCGTCCTTTTGAAATGAGTAGGAACTGTGCCATCGCCATACCTCCCTCTACCCGTAATTACTCAGATGTTCAAAGGACCCCTGCTGGGGGGGGGGCAAGCCTTCCACTCCATGTCAAACAAAAGAAAAGTAAAAGAAGAGAACAAAAAATATACCAAATTAATACAAGTAAACAATACAGTGGTAACAAGGTTAACAAAATTAATCCAAACCATAACATAAAAATACACATTTAAATTAAACAATAATCAAATAAACAACTTAAAATTAAAACTTAAAAAGAAAAGGAATACCAACAAGAAACCACTCCCCCCCAGACCACCCCCCTGCCACACCCAGAGAAAGAAAAAGTAAATAAGGAAAAAATAAAGCAAGAGAAAGAAAAGTTATAGGTCCATGGCCAGATTTTCCCTCTGGGGAGGTTCGAAGTGGAGGGGACAATGCTGGAGGATGTGTACCTGATTGTTAGTATCATAAGTATGGGCAGAATGCAATTTTGTGGTCTTTGGGCTATTGAAGGTAAAGGTAAAGGTTTCCCTTGACATTTAGCCCAGTTGTGTCGGACTCTAGGGGGCGGTGCTCATCTCCGTTTCCAAGCTGTAGAGCCAGCATTTGTCTGAAGACAGTTTCCATGGTCATGTGGCCAGCGTGAGTAGACATGGAACGCTGTTACCTTCCCACCAAGGTGGTCCCTATTTATCTACTCGCATTTGCATGCTTCCGAACCACTAGGCTGGCAGGAGTGGGACAAGCGAAGGGAGCTCACTCCGTCACATGGACTTGATCTTACAACTGCTGGTCTTCCGACCTTACAGGACAGAGGCTTCTGTGGTTTAACCCGCAGCACCACCACGGCCCTAATTTGGACTATTTGCCCCCCCTCAAAAAAACAAAAAATCCTCCTCAAAATTCTTGTCCCAAGAATTGTAATTAGGAAATCACACCTCTGCACAGTCTATTCCTGCCTCTGCCATACTCTGAGATAACCTGAGCCAGGTGATTCACTTTGCTCTACTGGGTGTCCCAATGTCTACGAAAATGAAATGATGTTAACAGTCCTACTGTGGACTAGATTATGGTTAGGCTCAATTTCCTCCTGTCACTAAAGTGCTTTTTAACCTATGGTGCACATTATGGCTACATAACAGGATGAAGTCTAGGAGCAGGGAAAAAGGAGAAACTAGTCCAAAATAAAACAAAAGACCCAAAACCAAACATGAGATTTAACTGTACCAAATTCTCATGCTCTGTATTTAAGTGCTTATGTTCCCTACTTCAAAGAAACTGAAGAGCAAAAAAAAAAAAATGGTCAGAAGCCACAATACTTCCCAGCATGTATGGGAACTTAACCATTTCCCTTCACTACTTAAAGTTGTATTATTTCACCAATAGACAGAGACAAACCCTACATTTATTCACCCTGCTGATGCACCAGCATGACGACATGTGCTGGAAATCTGCCAGTATGTCCAGCATTGGGTTCCTCTATTCTTTGGGCAGGTGCTTCTCCATTCATACTCCCCCCAACCTCCTCCAAGCATTTGGACGCCTTCCCTCATTTCTTTCCCCCAGCAGCTGGGGGAAGCAATAAGCATTCAACATGCATCTTCACTGTTATTTCAGAGCTTGACCCTAACAAGAAAACTCTGCATGCCCCGTTCTTCACATTTGTCCTTTCTGCCAGTCTGAGGGCACAGCACAGAATATATCACCCACACACCCACACCAAGCAAAGCTGTGCCAAAAGGTACACAAATGTATTTATATAGCACACATAATAGCAGTCCATGGGCTACTATAAAGAAGAGAACAGTTCATCAACCTGGAAATGTTTTCCCACTGGCCTATTTCAACACCATCGCCACCCCATTCTGTTCTCTTAAAACACAACAGCTATGTACTGACTAAACCTTTCTAGTTTGTAAAGGGCAATCACCAGCTGACTCCAGGCGTTTATTGTTGTAGCATACTGGCTGATATCCTGTTGCTTAACATGGTAAGTTGGACTAGAGTAGGCCCATTGTATCAGTGGGGTTTGGTGAGTCAATTCCTTTGTACATTCCATTGATTCAAACGCACCTACTCTAGTCGTGACTTCCTTTAGAACAGAATGGCCCAGGAGGCAGAGAGCTCTCTTTTGTGAGAGACATTTAAGCAAAGTCTGGATGGCCTGTTTTGTCACAGATGCTGCAGTTGCCTCTCTCGTTGTAGATCCTTCAGTGATCTCAGGGGTTGGCCCAGATAGCCTCCCATGCCCCTTCCAAGTCTAAATGTCTGCCATTACAGCACCACACAAGGCCAAACGAGACGGCACTACAGGGAGTGACGCAAAGTGGGAGGGAAAGACCGGAGCTACAAAGTGTCAAGGACTACTGGGTTTGACAGTGAGTTGATGGAGCAGGCAAAGACAGGCCCAGAAGATCGCTGCCAGCTAAATCCAAAGCTGTGTCAAACAAGGAGGAAAAGCAACAGGAGGGGGAGCTGACAGGCTTCAAATCTACGCCGAAAGTAGCTTCAAACTGACAAGCCTGGAAGAAAGACAAAAGAAGGAGGGTGGAAAAGAGCAGGAGAGCAGAGGAAGGAAGAAGCAGGGAGAAACTCAGAAACAGAGAAGGGCTAATGAAGGAACAAATTTATGGAAATGATTATTCATTTGCCACATCAGGCTGCCCCCAAGGGATACAGCTATCCTTAGATCTGAGAGACTGGGGGTCAACATTCTTTCTTTACCTCACTCTTTCACTTTAAGTCAGCAAGTAAATGTATCTTTTTCTCAATTTCCCACCAATTTCCCATCTGAAAACTGAGAAAACCATGATCTCCTCACAGAGTCCTTGTTTGAATTTTCATTAAGTACCAGGACAATAAAGGCTTGTAAAGCACTTCACAAATTTAAAGTACTGCTTAAAGGAAAAATAACATATTGTGCCTCTGCTGTTCCATGGCCTTCATCATTCTTCCGAGTGTCTTGTTTATGTACAGTTTTTGAACTGTGCTAATGAGGAATGCCATACTGAAAATGCTGGCAAAGACAACTATTGTCAGCTTGCAGAGAGTAAGAGTTATCAAATAAAAAATTAGTTGAGCCATCTAAGTTGCTGTAAGTGTATGAAAATGTTTGGCAAAGCGTTCTGTGTAGTAACATACCTACATACTTCAAAATGGAGACGATTCTGTTTTCCCTCTTTTTTATCTCTCCAGCACTTAAACAAATAAAAGATGCAGGAATCTAAATGCCAACATATGCTTACTTGTTAGGAGGTGATTTGAAATAACTACACAAAGCACAGCTGCTGGATCCAACTAAAAGCCAAGTATTCGCTTTCTAATAGAGGTCAGACATAAATTATACGCACACAGCAGCAACATCCCTCGGCAGCAACTGGCATTGAGACTTCAATGGTGTTTCTTGGTCAAGAGCCATGGAAGACCTAACTTCCACAACTTTGTCGGATTTCCTTCCCCCCACACACACACCTCCAATGCCTCTCTTCCCCAATTTTGCTCTGGAAATTGTGAGGAAAGGGCGTCCATACATACCGGATTGGCCTGGAGACCTGTGAGCTGAATTTTGTAAACTCTCCTGGGGCAGTCCACTCAGAACCCAGCTAAAGAAGAGAAGAAAGGATGTGAACGTAGACACCAAGTCCAACAGTTGACAAAAGCAACTTGAATACAAAAAATGATGCCAAATGGTGCTGTTAAAATGTGGAATTTTGAATGTATAATGTGTTACAATAATTACGCGGGCATAGAAAAAGCATTCTGGAAAAATGTACACCGTATTTTAAAAATGAGGTTCGAGTCAGAGTTTACTAAGTTACTGCTAAACAACCAGCTGTCCAACCAAGTCTGGAAGCAATAATATTACTGACAGTTGAACAAGTTCACAAATGACAGCTGCAAAGGAAAGAATTGAAAATGTATTGAAATAATTGTTTTGTAATATGTTAGGTCCATGGTATTTCAGGTCCTGTGATTTTATATACTTTATTTTATTAGATCCTTATAGTTTCATCCCATTGAAATCTGTAGGCTCTGAAACTGGTAGTCACAACAATAGTGCTTATCATCAAGGTGGCAGCTTGCCAGGTTCTGATTCACAAGATCTATATTCAACAGGCATTATAGATGAAAACAAAATGAAAATAAAGAGCAAAACAAGACAAAAACATAATGGCATCTTAAAGACCAAATCTTTTTTTTTTTAAAATTTGAGCTTTCATGGGCAAGTCCATTTCATCAGACATAAGAGCTATTAACAGGGATTGTAAAAGCAACTGAAATTCTTATTATAAAATTGTCTGCTGGTGTATCAGGACCCTGTACTTAGAGGTCCAGCAAAAGTCAGACATTTACATTTGAAAGAACTATAAATATATGGAGGCACAAGAAACACATTCAGCTCATCGCAAGGCAACACACCACACATACTGGATATGAACAACAAACATGTAACAGCAGTAACAGATGAGGAGAATATGAATTTTCCTCCATAGATTCAAACCAGTTTGGCTGGGTGAACATTTAGAATTATTTTGTGTGTATTCTTAGTATGCTTAAAGGCTAAGAAAGTTATTTTCCTTAATATGTTTTTATTCCTTAAAACTTTGGTATTTTAGAGTTATATTTCTGCTTTTTCACTGTGCCTTTTTAGGCTACAAGCTCTTGCATGTTAGAGTGCAATTAAAACATTATTTTTGTTACTCTATTGTACTTTTTATGCTCCTGTACATTGGAATGAATTCTACCTTAAGTATTTGCCTACAACTTAAATTTAGGTTTCATATGTTTTTAAGAATTTGTGCCTAGTGTTCACATAGCTGAAAGACTTTCATATGTTTTCAACAGTTTTGCTATATTTTTGCACCTATGGAAAATAGAAGCAATGTATATGAATAAAGCTTGTAGAATTAGACAAGTTGATCTTGCCTGGAATTATGGCAACAATGAAAAGACCTGCACCTTGATACTCATACCCAGATGATATGGTTGGAAATGATGATCTGATTTCATTCTGGAATTAAATGGGATAAATGCTAGTTGTGGTGAACACAGGCTTCTGATTTTTCCCGTGAGGTACCGTATTTGCTGGCGTACAAGATGACTTTTTTGGCCCAAAAAACATGCCTCCAAGTGGGGGGGGGATCTTGTACGCCGGGGGCACTTCATTTGAACAAAGAAGGAGCTGCCGTTGAGTGAGTGACGTGGGGCCGCTGGCCGGGGAGGAAGGCAGGTGGGCAGGCAGGCAGTCGGTCCGGATGGAGGAAGGGAAGCAGAGACGGCCATGCCTGAGTGACCAGAGGCCGCCGCCCCATGCCGCGGAGCCAGCTGCGTGCTCACTCTCCTGCCACCCACCCACTTCCCCTCTTCCTCCTCCTCCTCCTGCCGCCGCCCACGCAGCCTCTCCCCCTCTTCCTCACCCTCTTGCTGCTGAGCCAGCTGCGCGTGCGCTCGCCTGCCACCTGCCCGTTTCCCCTCTTCCTTCTCCTCCTCCTCCTGCCGCTGCCCACGCAGACTCTTCCCCTCTTCCTCGCCCTCCTCCAGAGCCCCTGGCAGCCGGCGCCGCAACAGAGCCGTCCACTCTATATTTTGAGTGGAAATGTTGGGCCGTCGTCTTATACGGCCAGTCGCCTTGTACGCCGGCAAATACGGTATATAAATTTCTGTAGGGCCCTTAGGGAAATATTCAGGAGTCAGACTCGCTGACCTTACCAGGCTGGTTGAAGCTTTCTGAAAAATCACAATCTAAACACTTTTAAGCACAAGTGCCTTTTCAGAGGAAGAGCTTGAAGATTAGTCACAGTTACCAGGCCCAAGCATATACTAAGAAAAATATGCCTTTAGCATAAGACTTGCTAATCTTCAACTAGCTGACAGTAGTTATTATGGTTTTTTCTTTTTGTTCGTTTGTAATTTTATTTTTTTATTTTTATTTTATTTCCCATCTGTTGGGAAAAATTGAGCCCTCCAACATTTTTGGACTGCAGTTCTCAGCAGCCTTGCCTGGCATAACCAATAGTGAAGAATTCTGGGGATTTGCAGCTCAACTGATTTGGACAACCCCACTTTTCCTATCTCTGGTCTAGGCTGCAGGCTGATAAAAGCATTCTCTTGCAAAATGGATGGACCTTGATGCTGGAAAGGGGCTGTGGGTTTGCTTGTATGTACCTCACTGACCAATGACTGGTACATCTGTGGTTGCTGAGATCTTCATACTGTATGCTTAATGTGGGGATCTGCATGGAGTTTTGTAAGCAGGTTCAGCAGCAAAGCTCCACAACTGGGAAACCTGCCTATCAGGATTCCTAAGTCCAGAAAGTCTGAAAATAGAATATAGTGGATAGCTAGAAGATGCATAACTTCTAAAAGCAATCACTCCAACATTTCAGCAAAGAAAGCACTCCTATTTATAAGAAGGTGTGGTTGATGGCACAGTCTGAGTATTCAGTAGTGTAGTCTGGGGTGTTGTGCAATCCACCAGAGCTGTTACTCACATCGCACATAAACACATGTAATGTATGCAGCCCCATGTAACCTAGGGGCAGACCTGCAAAGGCTTAACCTTGCAGAATGAAATCTTTTGCTGATTCCTCATCACCTCTAACAGGTTATTAGCATTAAATACAAATAAATCAGCAGTACAGGGTGAGCGATACCCTGAGACTACTATCATATCTTGATGCCCTAGTGAAAGAACCAGGTTTTGTTGAATGACAAAATAACACCAGTTGGGAGTATGTATATGAATTCTCTACTTAGGCTCAGAAAAGTCTAAGCCCTGGACCAAATTCGGAGGAGGCTGTTTGCAACATGGATAAAGGGATATTGCAGAGTTGCTTTTAAACATTTTAAGACACTGTACAGTATTTCATTAAGACTGAATGAAAATGTTAAAAAACTGAATCTTTCTCCATGATGCTATTTAATGCCTAGCTGTTTTTCCTTAGCATGTTCTTCCGAATGCAGTAAAGTGCTCACACTCTGAACCAACATTTAAAACCTAAACTATTTTACTGGCCCTCAGATTGAAAGGCAATTTCTCTTTTACAGTGAGAAAAGGGATTTGTTCACATAGGGTTTTTGTTGGGTTTTGTTTTGTTTTTGGTTCTCTAATACAGCTGTAGGGCCTCTCAGTGACCAATATGGAAATCTGAGTTTTATCTTCCATTCAGAACAAACTGGAGAAATAACCACCAAATCAATACACAGACATAAGATTAATCTCAAAATCAATGGCCAGTATCCTGTTGCTTAGTACACTAAATTGCACTGGAATTGGCGAAATGATTCAATGACAATTGGGTTAGTCCACTCCTTTGTAAGTTCCACTGAGCCAAATAGTTCTACTTTATTTGCAACTTACTTTAATATAGTAAGTTACAGTTAGAGTAGACCTATTCAATCCATGGAATTTACCAATTATTATTATAATTTATTAAATCCCCACTGATTCAATGGGCCTACTCTAATTCAATTTACTACACATGATAAGCAACAGCTTTTGGGTCAATATTAGTGAACAAATTAGGTTGTTTTAGCTTCTGAGCTAAACTAGAAAAAAGGCAGGGGGGCTTCAGCATAAGGTATTACCACCATAACATGATAGCATTTAAAACAAGCTGACATGTATAGACATATTTGTATATTGTGTTGGAGATCCAGGTTATAATTATGCATCCTCCAGATGTAAAAATCACATCTGAGTTGGCTTGAGGTTTATATGGCTCCCAATGGCAATACTACTAGTTCCATTTACATTCAACTACCCCAGCAAGGAATCAGAGAAATGAGGCCAGATGGCACTGCCTGTAAGAAGAAAACAAGAAGCAGCATGTCTAAGACACTATGATGCCATTACTGTGAAGCCTATGACAGTGTTAGGAGCTAAGAGAAAAGGCAGAATGCATGCCCACCTTGCCCACAAAGGCCACCAGACGTGCATTGGCTGGAGTCTCGTCAGAGCTGAGCCAGAATTCTGAGTTATCATCTGAAGCTACAGAAAACTGGAAATCCCCTACAAGACAGAATAAAAATGAGCTGTGAGTTACACATAGGAGTGGCACAGAAGAGGAGGATGGTTTAGTGAGAGTGAAAATAATTACTGGGCTAGTGGGCTGGATGTTTACGGCATTGTTGAAGGGCAGGTACCTAGGCAAGTGTTCTTATGGACAGAGCTCTGGGACTTAAAGAATGCCTGAAGGAACACCTGGCTTTTTGTTTTCTAAAGGAGTGCATGAATGGAGGACACTGTGCTTCCTTATATTTCTAGTCTAGACAGGAACTATAGTTAGAAGATTCTTTGAAGTTGTGAAGTTTATGGACCTGAGGAGGGGAGGAAATACAGTCATTCCTGGCAAAGCCTGGAGTGATGTTTTTAATCTTGCGATTGCCCTGCCTCAAACACAGAACTTTACAGAAGGTTTTTGCAATTGCTTCTGATGGAAAGAGCAAAGAATGCTTTTTTGGAATCATCTAGCTCCCCTGCTGGCCCAGTCAACTCCCAATATGATAGATTAGGTGGAAGGAATGTTCTGGAAGGACAAAGGTATATTCTGGCCTGAAGGGAGGTAAGCCTGTCCCCAGCCCTTGGAAGCAAAATTCAAGGGTAGTAACTCCTCTCACCATCTTTGAAAGGATGAATGTAGCCAAAAATACGTAGCCCATAATTCTTCCACTTGGGAGATACAGCCAACTTTTTTACCGTTGTACGTGTCTAAGAGCCAGAAGAGAAAAGGGGAAGAGTGAGAGTAACATCCAAAAACACAGCTTTTGAGCAAACAAGGGCCCAATATTTTTGCATGTGCTTGCATGGCAGAAAACAGATAATTAATGTATGCCAAGGTTCTTCTACAAATGTTTCTTCTGTGTGTCTTTGGGGAAGTCATTCAGAAGTCAGTGCAGAACATGAGTCTTAAGCAGATGGATCATTGGTATGATTAAATGAAGTTGTGTATACTGAAGCCCTTTACATATTTCATTCATACAGCATGTCTTGTGTCTCCAGGACATGATCATGGGAACAGACATGACTGTGGGAATGGAATACCATAGCTTGATACCAGTCTGCTCAAATCTGTGGAAGGAATTCTAGCATTGGTATTTGAGCTCAAGCCAAATGTTTTTGCAAAATGCAAATTCACTGCAACAGTGGCTAATATTTACCATGCAGAGGAGAAAACAGAAACCTCTCTTCTGGAAGTAATGTAGGCATTGGCATCTTTATCTTTCAGAACAGCTTGTACTCACATGAGGATAGAGGGGGAAATGCAGATTCTTTCTTAGATGTCCCACAGCTCCTCCACACCAATCTTCAAAAACATGCAGATTGGCTTTCCCTTTGTACTGCAGAACAAAATGGTAGCATTTAGTCTCTATGTAAGCTCTCTGTGGCTATTTATCTGGTATTGGTACGTACATGTGCACACACAAGTGTGTCTAAAGATATGCCCCATCCACACTTTATACACTTCTGTTATTTACTTCTTTTGCCTAATAGCTGCAACTTTCAGGGTGGTTCACAATAAGCTTAAAACAAGGAAGCAAGAAACTATACCAAAACAGCAAAACATATTAAGACAGCCACAGAAACCAATGACAAACCAACAGGGAAGAACAGCAATTACATGTAGAACTGAAAAGTACAAATACTTTTTTAAAAAACTAAATGACTAAAGCCTGGAAGATTAAAAATCAGCTTCCAAAACGCTATAAAGTAGACACCAAATGAGAATCCCTGGAGAGGGCATTCTGTTATCATGTCATCAGGGTGCTTCCACTGAAAAGCTGTTTTCTCTAGTTGCCACCCACCTTTCCTCATTTACTGGGGGAACTTCGAAGGATGACCAGAGATAAAATTAGGTACATATGAGAACAGATATGGGCTGGAATCCTGAGTTCATGAAAGGTGTGCTTAGACTTCCACAGCTAATTGACAAGGTGTTGAGATGCATCTCACTTGTGTAATGAAGCAATGACCAAGCAGGTGACTAAGGTTACTTAGGCACTTCATTAGTTAGCTGTAATTAGGCACAGCAAGTGCACAGGAATTCATACAAACCTTAGCTGAGCACCAATAGGGTTCTGGCCATTACTGCAAGGTACACCAGTGCTGCAGGGGTATACCTACAGCAGTCTGTTTTACTTTTACTTATTAAAATATTTAGAAGTCAGGCTTTGGCCAAGGGACAAGAGTTGTTCCATCATATCTCACATTAATGAACATCTTTGTGAAAATATAAATCTTTCTCTACACTGTAACCTAACGATGTATTTTATTACTCCATCTCAAATCCTACATTCTGCACTCAAGCGACTGTGTTCTTACCTAACTCTTTTTCTTCATTATTAATTCTACTATTTTTTTTCTTTAAATTTTAAGATCTCTACAACAAAATCACTTTAAAAGCAACAAGGGTTAACATTAACACTAATAAAATATAGCATAGCAATGTTTTCACAACGGATTCAGATAGTCATCATCCAAATTAGAAACACAGAAGGATTTAATCAGTAGGAAGCAAGAAGACTCTACGGTTTAAGAAGGGAAAAGTACTGTGGAACACAATGATGTTAACTAGCTAAAAGAACAGATGTCTAAAGGGTGGGATTTTATGCATGTAGTCACTCAAACATCTCATTAATAACTTTTAGCCATATTTTTTGAAACAAAAACCCAAATTAAACACTTACTAGCACAAGTTTTTGGGGGGTCTTATTTACTTTCCCCTTCCACCCCAACATTTGTCTTCCAGTCACAGCTGGCTGTGAATATCCATTTGGGCTCTTGTATAAACATCAGATTGGAGTGGTATGTGGAGTTTTTGTCTGGTAGAACAGGACTTTGCAGTAACTGAACCACCTTTTATTTATGTCTTATACAGTGATCCTGTCCAGTCCAATGAATGACATTAAAGCCCTTCTATCCATAACCAAAGCATGACTTGTAACCTTAACATAAAAGGTTATATGGATGTTTCCTAGCTATACAAACGTCCTTGGAACAAAGGAAAGGGAAACCTTCTTCCCAGGATTACCAGTTCCTTGCTTCAAACCAGTAATCTGTTAATTACTGACTGCCAACATTTTAACAGGCAATTGGAATGGCAATACTTTCTTCTACAATTAAGACCACACATTAACAGTAACTCTGCCTCACTAACACCTTTTACGTACTTCTTTTGTCCTACTAGTCGTTCCCAATCTTGGGTCCCCAGAAGTGCTTGAATTACAATTCCCAAAAATCTCGGCCAGCACAACTAATAGTGAAGGCCTCTGGGGGTTTTAGTCCAAGAACATCTGGGGACCCAAAGTTGAGAACCATTACTGCCATTTATGCCAATTATGGCTCTTAATGATCTTCAGTATCTAGCCCCTGACATCGTTCTAGGAAAATAAGCTTGCCCAGCTTCACTTATGTTCAAGCCACAAATACATCTGCTGATTGCTGATGCTCACCCAACAAAGCTATCATGACCAAAAATACCATTCCATCAGAAACAGAAGATCAACATTTACTGCCATATGAAAGACCAGACAAAGCTATGCTGCAAATGTAAGTTGCCCTTATATTTTCTCTAATTCTTAGGGAAGCCTCATTATCAAACACCTATGGGAATTGTAGTTTTCTTAGAATGTTCCAAATTCACCATTAAATTCTAGCCCACGCATGGATCTAAAATCCCCAGGGTTCCTTGGGAAGAAGTTGTGGTGGCTTAATTGATCTAAGTTTGCAACTGAAGATGTGCCCCACTTCTGGCATGCTGCTTCAAACTTTTCTCTCATTATTTCTTAATTTCTTTCCCATTATTTTCTTTCAATTCTCTGAGGCCTATTCTATTGGTTAAGCACAATCAACTAATTAATTGGCTTTCTATATTCAGTGTACTTATTCTGCCATTCTTCCCACTGACTACCCTTTTAGTAGGATGAACAGTGAGTTGCTCTAATATGTTAAAGTGTAATGAAAATACTAAAATCTACTTGCAATGCATTACCAACACTGCTAATGGAGAGATTTCCATTTGGATGGCAAACCTGCACCAAATCAAAAGCTTGCAATTTCTAAGCAAGTTGGGTTAGAAAACGTTTTGTTTTGCTTCTGATCAAGTTATCACACACTGTGCCGTTCTTGGTACATTTGCAACAAACGAGGTACAGTGCAGGAATTACTAAGGAACACAAGTCATGAAGATAAAAGGCAGGATAAGGAATCTATTCATGAATACACCTGTCACTAGGTAGTTGCTCAAGTCTGTGGTATGAAAATATAGGCTGAGGCACTTGAGACTCTTTCAGACAGAGCATCCATTCTACTTAATATATCTAATTCAGCAATGATTTAACTGTTTCCGCCATTCATAAGATCTTTCCGTTATCCCACCTAGTACTGTGACATTTTCTATTACTATCTTTTCATCTGTTCTGAAAACAAAGTTTATTTTTAGTATTGCTTTGTTTTGGGAGTGGGGTTTAGAGCTATTGTGCTTTCCCTTGAAGATGATGTGTGATGAGAGCCTCCCAGTCAGAAGCTTTTAATTTGCAAAGAAACAAACAAATGCTGCATAAATTCCAGCAGAGAAGTGCAGCTCTTATACATCTTTAAAGCATTTTCTTAAAGACTTCCTAAAGAGAAGCAGTTTTCTTAAAGAGGAGTGCCTTCTAAAAGGGATGTTTGGATGTAAATCCCAGTGAGCTTCACGCTCTTTAGCTGGGAAAGAGCATGAAACTCACTGGGATTTACATCCAAACATCCCTTTCAAAAGGCACTCCTCTTTAAGAAAACTTAAGAGACATGAGAGGACTTCTGCTCCATTTGGAGGATTCCTATCAAACTGTTAAGTGTGTGTTTGTGGGCTAGATTCCATATGGAAACACACACCTGGTGCATGTATGCGTAGGTTCACTTGTTCCTTATACTATATCAGGAAAACAATTACAATCCATATCTGTGGCCTGTTAGTTTTCTACAGACAAGGATTTATCTACTAGAGACAAATACTGGAGAGATCCACCTAGATCCATGGTTGCCTTTTGGAACGACTTATGGAGCAGCACCATCTTCAGGCATAATCACAGCACACATTATGTTGTTTTCTATTTACAGAAGATGCAAGTTCATACTTTAGATTTGCAATATGGGACCACATTAACTGAAGTTCTCTTGTTCCTGTAGAGGCTACTAGATTTTATTAATTTTTAAAAAACAATAAAGAGACCTGCATGTCCTTCTCCAACACTGGTTCAAAAATTAAAACCTACAAAAGGCAAGCAACCAGGTGGGACAGACAACATTACACTAATATATTTATTGGTGTCATAGGATACTTTTCTTACTAGCTAATGCAAGGTATTTAAACAAAAAGGTTCCTTTCATTATTTTTTTAAAGCAAACCATGAGGCAATGAAGCAAATGTGACATGCTCTGGTTGCTAACAGGTCGGTCTGATTCAAGAGGAGTCTTAATATCTTTGGGTGGCGGGGGCTGACTAGAATGCAGTATAGTCAGAAAATGTTCCACAATAAAGCAACATGACCTGTTTATATGCCTCCCCATCGTGCTCTTTGAATAGTCAGAAAATGTTCCACAATAAAGCAAACATGACCTGTTTATATGCCTCCCCATCATGCTCTTTGAGCGGTTTACAATATAATTGTGCAGGCTACACGTTGCCCTCCCCTCTCCCCAACAAGCTGGGTGCTCAATTTACTGGCCTTGGAAGGATGGAAGTGTGTGATCCTCAAGCTAGCTACCTGAGCCTAAGATCAAACTCAGGTCATAAACAGAGTCTTGACTGAAGTAGTGCAGTTTAAACACTGTGTCACAAGGCACAATAGCAGTGTATATTTACTTTTATTCTGCCTTCTGTCTTTGGGTGGAAGAACACAAATGAACAAAAACATTCTTTTAATGTGAGACATTTTCGGTCCCTGCAATATACTGGGGTTGTAACTGGGATCAGAAAATACTGCACAACTTGAACTATGCATTTCTTTTCCGTTTGATTTTTTACTGGTCCATGGAGGTTAAAAGATTAGCATATGACTGTTCTAAACTGATGTCTGAGTCTGTGGTCTTCTGGTATACTGATGAAGGATCTTTCCTTTCTTAATCTTCCTGTTCCATTTGTAATAAAAACAAGGTAACGAAGCAAAAGACTGATTATCATCCCGCTCTCTTTTCTGGATCTGAATCTGTGGATTACAGCCCGACATACTCAGCTGTCAGTCCTTAGCTATTACTATGACAGTCAGAATGGAGTAATCAGTAATGCTTAACAAATCCGTAAGAGTTGAGAACAAAGGAAGTTGCTTGGACAAATATTAAGGTGAGAAGCGAAACAGCATGAGACTAGCAACAGCAATGCCACAATATATCCCCATTGGTACATACTGCACCATTCTGTAGTTAAGGACATTCCCTGTACCCCTAAGGAACCTTCTTCACTTTGGAAACAGAGGCAGAATGTTTCAGAGCTGATCTTCCAATAGGTGTTAATATGTTGACTGCTGCTTTGCACAAAGCTGCTACAGGATGCTGACCAGCCTTCTGTGAAATCTTACAGATAATGAGACCTAAGCACTTGACAAATCAATGCACAAAGCCTATTATGCAGCACGCAGCCTTTTCCTGGACATCTTCTACCTGACTGCTGATGCTGCTTACTAATCTGTAGGATTTGCTCATTTGTGATGCAGCTCCTGGGGTTGGTTTTGTGATTAAACCACATCCTTCTCTCTAGAGCCTCACTCAATGCCTCCCTTCCATGGTCCTGGCCATCTGAATGCATTCTGCTAACAACCTCTCCTCTGCCACAACCCCAGCCCTCCAAGGCTTTCCTTGTCACAGGGGCAGCCAAAATGCTGCCTGAATAATGCAAGAGTTCATTAAGTGGGCAGGTGCCTGGGCACAGCTGCCTGGCTCTCAATACTGGGCTTTACCCCAAATGGAATGAAATACAACTCTGAGGGAATGAGCTGGATCAAAGGTGACAGAGCAGGATGAGTTCACTGCTGATGAGTCTCCCACATGGTCTCGGATGCATAACTAACTGCAGCTGAGCAGAACCTGGATAAATCTTTATCTGAGATAAGAATATAATATTATGGCTCCTATACATTCATAGTACAGTGCTGCCTCGCTAGACGATTGCCTCGCTAAACGATGACCTTTTTGAGTGATGTTGTGCTTCACAAAATGATTGTTCCTATGGGCAATTTTCGCTGGATGATGTTTGGGTCATTGCCTCGCAAGACAGGTTTTTTTTTGAGACCCTGTTTCGCAAGACGGTTTCCCCCCCCCCCCATTGGAACATATTAATTATCATAAGACCTACTTTTTTATCCCAAAAAAGTGGGAGAGAAAGTGTATGCTGCTGTTTTTCCTGGAAAGCCAGCAGCATACACTTTCTCCCCCACTTTTTTGGGATAAAAAAATAGGTCTTATGTATTTAATGTGTTTCAATGGGGGGGGAAAGCATCACCAATGGGGCTATGGCTGCAAATTTAAACGGTAGTGAATGGTGAAAATAGCCAGGAACCAAATGTGACAAACCCAGACCTACTGGGATCTATCACACAGTTACTAAGCTGCCACCAACCATTCCCTATAATAAGTCACACAGACCAGGGATGGATTTTTAAACAATAAAAGAATAAGGTTTATTTTAAATACAAACAGGGTAAGTAAAACAATCAGGTGAATAAAATAAAGTAACGTGGCTTATTCTCACACACACAAGCATACAGTTTGGTTCACCTAGAACCTTTAACTTAAAGCACAGACCCTGAACCCATCAGTTCTGGCTAACCAACAGACCCCTGAACCTTTCAGGCTGGTACTCTGACACACAGTAGTACCCTGTCAGACACCCAGACTCCCACAACAGCTTCTTCTTCCCCAGCTGCTGCTTCGTCCCAACCCAGTGTCTCACAGTCTGTCTCAGCATCTACTCTTCACCACACAGGCATCACATATTTATACAGTACAGCCCCTCCTCCTGATGTCCCGCCTTCCACTCCCCATAGGATGGAACTTTCCCTCCAAACCCATGACAGACAGGTAACATCAGTGCTGTTATGTAACACCAAAGGGTAAAGAGAATGTTAAAAAACAGAGAAATCACAAACATAATTCCCCCATTAACACAAATTATGTAGTTAAGTTCCCCACATTTGGGGAAATCACAAGGGTCAACAACACACCTAAAGTGCAATGGATGAGCCTCTCCCTGGGAAAACCATTTTTACAACATGGTATTTCCCCTACAAGGTATGACTTGGAATGGCCTTTGCATCTCCTACTCCCTTCTGTCCCCTGACCCCCCAAGTCATGGTGACCCCCTGGCTGCACCTCCCACTCAGTACAGGGCTGCATAATGCTAATACCTGTGCACTAGAGGATTGTGGGAGGAACACTTAGCCCCTGATGGGGGTCCCACAGGGCACCCCAAAACACTGAGAAGCTATCTTGGCCTCTGGCAGCACTGGGGCTGTGCAGCCCTGTACTGAGTGGGAGATGCAGCCAGGGGGTCACCATGACTTGGGGGGTCAGGGGACAGAAGGGGGTTTGACTCCTTTTACCTTCTTTCTTTGTTGCTGGAGAGTGAAAGAGGGGGAAGGCTATCTGAGACCCATTGAATTTCCAAAGGCAGTGTGTTTTGCAAGACAATGTTTTCTATGGACAATTTTCTGAAGACAGTGATTTTTTTCCCAATTGGAACACATTAAATGGATTTCAATGCATTCCAATGGGGAACTGGGTTTCACAAGACAATGTTTTCACAAGACAGCTATTTCCATGGAACAAATTAAAATCGTCTTGCGAGGCACCACTGTAGTTTAATAGAATGATATATATTCAAACAACCACCACCAAATATTTATTATAGTTGTGAGGTCAGTTACACAATCAACTGAAGCTTAAATAAGTGACCATTTAAAATACTATTATGAACATTCTTTCAGTTTATTAAGTCTTACATTTTTATACATTGTTGTGAAAATTTTACATTGTACATACTTGGCTCCTACATAACCCTAAAAAAACCCCACAACAGATGTATGGTACTCCAAATAGTTTTTAAAATAATACATATACTATATGTTATTTATTAAATACTGAGCAAAACTGACATTTTTTAAATTTTGAAGTCTACTTTTTCCATCAGATGACCAGGAATAGCAACATGAACTAACTGCCTGGCAGCTTTGACTTGATATTAACCGTTTCTGTTTCAAACACTCTCTCAAGCCACAAATAAACCAGTATTTGTTTTAAAAAAGTAAGAGGTGGGCAGAACAGAACCACCAACATACATAATACTGCACAGATTTTGAAATTTGCAGTATTTTGTTCACTTTGGATTTAGTCAATTCAGCCACTCCATACTAGGCTAAGCTGACCACACTTAGAAAAGAGCAGTTAGCCTCCTCTCCATCATCACTTTCTACAAGCAGAATGTGACAAGTCTGCAGGGAAGATGTTCCTGCTGTTGTGTGGGCTATACAGGTAAGCACAAACCCTGGGAAATGAGTCTTCCCACATACATGTAACCAGAAATGTCTCCCTTGCAGACTTGTTGCTTTCCTCACCTATGCAGAGGGGCAGGGCTGGCTTCTCCCATCTAAATGTGGAGAGCTTATCCAGGGAGGGAACAACTAAAGACGCCTTGTGAAAGACACCCTCCCCCCTAGCAGATGATGTGCTTAGGATAGCAGGTGCATTTTTAATATATGTTCCAGGGCACCTCAGGTCTGTGCACCTGAGGCAACTGCCTATCTTACCTCTTTTTTAAAAACATCTAGCTGTAATGAGACTGAGATTCCAGAACAGTTCAAGTACTGCCTGCAACAGGGTAACTCCTTCATGAGATACCAAGTTCATTGATTAAAATGTCATAAAATCAAGAGATGTTTGTAATCTCAAGGGAGCAGAGGATTCCCTCTCTCCTTGGAAAGTACCCACTTTGGAAGATAAAACAGGACTGAAGTCCAAGACTAATATTCACTGTGAAATTGTGCTTTGAGAGCATTGTAAAAGTAATTCAGAACTGTTCTTAAACAGATGCCGTTCATTTCACAATGATTTCACCTTTCTGCACAACCAATAACTGGACAGCTAGAACTGATTTCCAGATATTCTCTCTCAAACACTACCTCCCACTTATTTTTTTTTTAATTTTCAGACATGCCTTGTCAGCTTACCTGTTCTTTCCATGGCAGAACATGCTTGGTTACATTTGGCTTGGAGGGTTTCGCAACTCTGTCGAGACCAAGTCTTTTGGAATACCATCCATCAACACCTTGCTCGTCCACCTGTAAGAGGAACTAGAACCATTGAAGAGGGAGGGAGGGAGGGAGGAAAAGAAAATACCACATGGATGAGAGTACCTCAAAGGACCAAGGTCACAGAACTATACTGAAAGTATTAGTACAGTATCACATCTATTATTAGCTTTTTCCAGAACAACAAGCTCTCCACTTGATTGGATCAAACATCTTCTACATTAAATTGTTGGGTGTTCAATGATGTCATCCCCATACCTAGTATATAGGTTTAGTTATCAGTGTCAAAGAGAACACTTTCCCACTCCACAACAGAATATTACAAATAATTAAAAATCATCATAGCCCAATATATTGGGACAGGAAGGTCAGTGGTACCTTACAGCTAATGAAACAGAAAAGGAGAATGCCATCACCAAATGTGCATATGACCAAATGTATATGACCCAAAGCTACCACAAATTCTGCTGCACTAAGGCATTCCTTTTCCAAATATGACATAGCACTACAACACTTGGTCAAGGTGACAAGAAGCACCTGCAACTAATTTTCTATTTATTTATAAAATATTTTTACTCCACTTTTTTCCTTAAAAGGATCCAAGGTCGATTACAACAATTAAACGTTATAACATTTAAAAGCTAAAAACAGTGAATATACAAATATTTTAAAAGGATTAAACAAATATTATATTAAAAATGGTCAATAAAAGTACATTTAAAAATATCACAGCACAAGAACCCATTAAAAAATAAACTCTCAGGATGCCAATCAGTAAGAAAAGCCTGCCTAAAGAGAAAGGTCTTTGTATTCTTGAAGGCTTTCACAGCCAGGATCCGATGGTTGTTGCAGGTTTTTTGGCCATGTTCTGAACTCCTGTCCTCTGAAGAAAACAAAGACAGAGTTCAAACTCCTATCCTCTGAAGATGCCAGCCACAGAGACTGGGGAAACGTTAGGAAGAAAAACCTTTGGAAGGGCCAAATAGCAAAAAAACAAAAACAAAAACAAACCTATAACAACCATCAGAAAAGTCTTTGCTTGTGGAAGGACAGCAAAGATGGGGCCAGCTTAGCTTCCTGTGGGTGGGAGTTTCAGAGTCTTGGAGTAGTGGCAGAGAGGGCCCTCTCCCATGTTCCTAACAAGTGTGCTTGTGGGGGTGGTGGGAACAAGAAAGTCCTCCGCCGATTATCTTAATTCCCAGACAGGCTTTTAGAAGCTGGTGTGGTCTTTTAAATAGCTTGGACCCAAGACGTTCAGGTTAAAACCCGCACTTGAATTGTGCTTGAAAACAGATTAGCATCCAGTGGAGCTGTTGTAACAGGGGAGTGATATATTCCCTATAACCAGCCCCTGTTAGCAATCTGGCTGCAGCACTTTGGACCTTCTGAAGTTTCCAAATACTTTCCAAAGGCAGCCCCACGCAGAGTGCATTAGAGTAATCTAGACAAGAAGTATGATCAGACATCTCAAGAAACGGGCACAGCTGCTGCACTAGTTTTAATTGTACAAAGGCACTCCCGGCCACCGCGGAAACCTGGGCATTTTTCCCCTACATCTATGACAAAATGTCAAGGCAATGTGATGATGGTTGTTAAAGGCATAATTTGTGTGTGTACCTACAATTGTGTAGGTATTCATTGCACACCAAGACCATGCTTATGGAGTAGAAGGGTTATTGCCAGACTACTTATTACGCTGGAAAGCATGGGGATATTAACTGATAGGTGTAGAAACAGTTAAATATTTCTCTATTGCCCCTTCCTAAAGCATTTTTCCCGTATTATAAAGAAGATATACAGTAACACAGGCTTTAAACCTTGGTTTTATTTGATAATTATTGTTTTGGATAGCCAGTTCTCTCTTCCAGCTTGGGCCTAAGCTTCATACCAAAGTATGGTCTAGAAATGCCTTCTAAAATTCAAAATGTTGTAACCACAATAGCATGGCATATGAAACCAAAAACAGTTTATAACCAAACTGCCTTTGGGGGTGAATTGCCCTTGGATCAGTCTCTCTACTGTCATTTGGGATCACTGAAAATTACTGGAAATACAAAGGATAGGACACATGTAATATAAACAGAAAACTGACAGCATGCTCCTTGGTGGTGAAGGTGCTTCTTCTAATCTCCAGTATGAATTACAGATATACATACCAGAAAATCAAATGCTGCTTTTATATTGGCTCTTCCCCAAGCTTTAGATAGGTGACATCTGAAGTTTTCAAACTCCTTTTTTAAAAGCATGGTCATTATGTTCAAAGTGGAACACATTCATCCATTCATTCACTGTTTTTCTAAAACAGGGACAAAGTAGGTGCAAAATGGGATTGGGGATTTGGGTGTCTAGTTCATGGGATTAGGTATTTGACTGCAGAGACAGGAGGTGGGGAGTTCAACTGCTCACATTTCTGCCCACAGAAGAAAAGCCAGCCTGTGTGGCCTTGGGCAAGCTGCACAGTCCCAGGGTGCCCCTGGAAGAAGGGAATTGTAAGCTTCTACCTGGATATCTCAGAGTGCCAACCAATTTGTACTTTGCAAAAGCATCTTCAGCTATGCACTGTATAGATTTACAGGTGATGGGCAGAGGTAATGAGCATGGAATATAGAGCTCAGGATGTCTTTTTTCTAGAAAGAAATATCAAAGGGTTATTTATCAGCAAGGATTCTTAATATTGACTGAATGAATATTCATAACAAATGCCTGTCTCTGAAAGCACAACTAACCTCATCCCGGTTTTCAGACAGGGATGCAATTGTGGGAGGTTTATAATCCAGGGCCCTTAGAAAGACAAATAGCAAGAGAAATACTGTCTTGTGTTTTCTTTGTGTTTTGGTCAACATGTGTAGTACACCAGGGAATATGGCCACAGCAATTGCAGCGATCCCTGTTGGGTTAAACTGTTATGAGACCCTTTTGAAAACATTGTTCTGAACTCTGGTATAGAATGCTTCTATTAGAAATGAACTGATAATGGAAACCTCTTAAACCACAGAAGGGGACTGAGTCTTGAAAAATGGGGCTTATTAGTTATGAATGAACTGAAGCAGCAAATTGGGATTCAAAAAAAGGGGGGGGAAGAGAAATCTGATCATTTTATGCCTTCTGATTGAAGACTTGTGGCCAATAACCACATATGTGCAAACTGATCCCATGAGCTGGGGTAATCCAAATAAATACAAACTAAATGTTTTTATTAATTGTCTCAGATGATACTCCTTCTGTCACTGCTGTTTTTAGACTAAATGAACCAAAATAAACTGAGCAACTGGGAAAGGCAGAGGGTACGAATAATTATAATTGTTTTTGGTATTTGAAGAGAAGAGGGAAGTTCAGTTAAATGGTTTTTGTATTATGTTTTATAAACAATCAATTCAAAAAGTTACTAGAAAAGGAAACAAAGTGTAAAGAAAACAAGATTATTATTATCTGGGATATATATATTTTTTATTTTTCAGAGATCTTTCCACTCAACCTGTAAATAATCACATTTCCAAATTACAGTATACCGGTATGCTACAGTAACTGTTCTGAACCTGGTGCCTGCTGATGTTGGACTACAACTCCCATAATCACAAGCTAGCTAAGGACAATGGGAATTGTAGCCAAATTTATCTACAGTGTACCAAGTCTAGGGAAACTGTGTTTCTAGAACCACTTCTGAAAATATCTTACTTTGCAAACCTTTCTCCACTTTATTACTCAAACACTTTACATTTTTTTCATCTTTTAAACTGCATCCTGAAAGACACAAGCCACTTGAACACATGTACAGCTAGAGTCAGAGATTGCTGGACTGTTTCAGGACAACAGTAAAGACCAGACAGGGCAAGATAGGGTTTATCCAACAAGATGAACAATAGGCATTCTGAAGTTGAGGGAGAGCAAAAGAGGACTCATCAGGCCTTTGTGCATAAAAGCACAGATTCCAAATGAGGTGCATTTGCAGTAATGATTAGAAGCTTGAATTATTTCAAAGGCAATCATAACAAGTGGGAATTAAGTTACTTTAATGATGTAAGAAATATTTTCCAATTCCACTTTGAAGTTACTGTCAAAGGGCATTTTAGAGGCATTTTGACAGCATATGCCATTCTCTTACCAATTCTAATGTGTTTTTAAAAAGATATCAAAAAGAAAACAAGCCACACAATGAGTAATGTAACTCTTTAAAGATCACAATGAGTAACAGATTTTCAAATACTATAATGACTACGAGAACCAATTCCTTAAAAAATAAAAATGCCCTATGCTCTGGACACAGGTTGTGTTCCCTCTGATGCTCAGGGCTTATTTATGTACATACTGGTCTGTCACTCTACTCACACATAGCACTGAGGAAGCAGGTAGGAAATGAGTCAGGCCCGCTCAGATCAGGTTCTGCCATCCATTCTTCATTATATGGAGACAAATTACCTGGGAGATTGGGGTACTCAAAGGAAGAAACAAAAGCCTGAGCCTGTGATAAATGCCTCCTTGTCAAATTCCTCTTCTGACAGAATTAATTCTCAGCCAGCTGTGACACTTGGAGGGTGGAAGCAGAAACTACTTCTAGGACGTTCAGACCAGCAGGATGACCCACACAGCCTTTTCTCTGTAGACCCACAGCATTTGAGCTGCACTGATCTAGCACACAAGAGTAGGCAATACGATGGTTGTTGTAGGTTTTTCGAGCTGTCTGGCCATATTCTTGAGGTTTTTCTTCCTAATGTTTTGTCTAAAACCCAACAAAGCCTGGCTCCCAGCACTGAAAAACACAGCCTGCAAGAGGTCAACGAACTCTACCCAGCCACAAGGACCAGTGATCACTGCACACAAAAGACCAGCTAACAACACCCATTAATCACAGTGACAGATCATCTCTCCCCTTATCACAACAATACCCTCACAACAAAAAACACGCTGATCACCATAATCACCCAATCTCCTGAAAAGGAACAAAAGTGGATCCCACAGCTATAAATACTCAACTATCCTACAAAACTGCATCAGACCATAGACAGAGTTCTGTCTCCTGTCCTCTGAAGATG